TATAAGTTAACGTAAAATAGATGAAAAAATTGAGATAAGCTTTCCTGAAAAAATATTACCTATTATATTAAAGAAGAGAGGCTCAGGGGCCATATCTCTGATCTAAGCACAATAGCCAACTAACTATACTTTGGCCTAAGTAGCTTTACAAAATCAAATACAATACAAATCAAAAAAAAAAAATGGTATAAAATGCATAAATAATTTTTTCATACCTTTAAATACTAATCAAATAACTATAAAAACACCATCATATTGTGCACGAAATTTATTTTCAATGAGAATACAAACTTGGAACTTATTACAGACTGGATAAAATAAAAAGAACAGAAACGAAACGAAATTGTGCTATTATACAAATATTCCTCCATTATTTCTAAAAGACTCATTTCCCTTTTATGATGTTAACGAAACCTTTGGGAACAAGACAACTTCTAAAAATCTTTAAAACGTGTATATCTCAGATCCTGAATTGAAGTCACTATTTACCAAGTCGTGCACATTTTTTTTCCCAAAGTGTGTTACTATGGTCGATATTAACGCACTTTGAAAAGAAATATTTCTTTTCAAAGTGCGTTAACTTGGTCCCAAATTTAACGCACTTTGAAAAAAATTTTCAAAGTGCGTAATTTTTCAAAGTGCGTCGTAACATCAGTGAACTTGAAAAAAAAAAAAAAGAATTGTCCACAAATCTGGTATCGTTAACTTTTTACAACAATTTTAATATACCATTGATTTTAAGGTAATGTTACGGGAGTTAATGCTTGAACAAGTCTTATTATTTTTTAAATAAAGCTGAATTTGACCAATTTTCGTTTCTGATGTTCAGTATAGAACGCTAAAGTATGATTCATGAAGTCTCGCATGAATCCGATATTTAATTTAGTTAAAATTTCGGGAAGTTAATTCCAAGCAATGAAAGTTAAAATTCTCAGCAATAGTTAAAATTAAAATTTGTTTTAGGATATTAAACAAAAGTATGAAGCATTTCGCTCCCAAAATAATAAAAATGTTTATACCTTTAATGCAAAAACTTTCCTGAATTACCGTTACGGAAGTTAAATTTTAAAGATAGACAACTGTTTTTGTCAAATTCATTTTGTTATGTCGAAAATGTGATTGTCTAAAATAGCTCATTCGCAACTAGAATCAATGATATTAGGTCCCGTGGTCACTTTCAAATAAGTTTCAGCTCTTTTTGAAATCTGCATTCTGTGCGTAAAACTTAAAACAAAATCGTTACAGAAGTTAATCGCTTTTTAGCGACATGCTATAATTTCGCATGAAAGAAGATCCAAGCATTTCTTTGCGATAAGTGGTTTGATTTCTTTTTATATAGGATAAAAAACTTTTTAAACGTTCATTACAATCTATTCGGAACGCTTTTACGACTGAAAATTTCATCTTGAAATTTGTATATAAATGAAGCAACATTGAGATTTGCAGTGGATTACGTTTTTCAGCATTACATTATGTTCATATCAAAACTGTAACTGCATATAATTATATCAGTAAATATTTAAAAAAAACTATGTGTGTATGTTAAGTCTTAGAGTTGAAATCGATCTTTAAATTTATAGTTTAGATACTTAGGCATAGTGGCTCACATAAATTTTATATGAAATTCACATGAATTACATGTAAATTCTTTGCGCGAGAAAGAGACGAAAAACAAGACATGTGAAATTTATGTGAAAACTTTAAGCCATTTTGACCTAACTTTCATATGAATTTTACATGAAGAGCATGTTGCATAAAAATCGTGCAGAAAAAACTTCACATGAAAGTTCTAAATATATATATATATATATATATATATATATATATATATATATATATATATATATATATATATATATATATATATATATATATGTGAATATCATACAAACTTATTCATATGATATTCGCATGAAAAAAATATTTATATAATTTTTACGTGATTTTCACAAAATTTTCAAATAAAAAGATAATCACATGAATATCACATATGCCACTTTTCCCTGTGTATTACAACGGTAAATTTGTAAGCGACATAAAAAAATTCTTAATTGGTCATGTTTTTGTAGAATGACTGATTCTCTTTAGCCATTTCGCCACAAACATTTCAAGGTAATTTTTTAATTTGTTTGTACAACATATAAAATCTGTAACTTTGTGAATACTCGTTTAAAGTTCTCTGTCGTTGCGATTTTGAAAAGTGCAAACATGATAAAGGGGGGGGGGGCTCATTAAAATGCAGTTTGGAGACATCAACCATTCTACTCATATAAGGATTCAAAACACAATGTTTGAACAGGAGAATCACATTGTGTAAAAAAAAAAAATTATTCAGGTATGAATAGGATTAAAAACCGGTTTCGCGCAAAACAAAGGCTTGGTGGACAATATGTTGAGACAGTGTCACGTGTGAACATTTGATGTCTTTAAATTTAAATATTCCTAAAATCTTTGCGTGCCTAAAACACTTTTTGATATCAAAAACTACACATCTTCATTAAGTCTACTTTTTACAATTTTTTCACCAAATCAGTAAAAAAAACTGTAGGAGTAGCAGTTTGAAAGATATTTACATAATTTCCTATTTTCAGTATTTTACTTTAGCAACATCCTTCACCGAAATCAAGAACTGGTAAAGAAAATTAAATTAATCTTGGTGTATTCTAAACGCACTAGTATGCTAAGTTTTTCTGAAATCAGATCAGTTCTTGAAAATTTCATCCACAGACAGACAAACAGATGGTCTTCTGCCAATACAGCTAAAATCGGGAAAGGATTTACATATACAACATGCTTAATGTCCAATACAATTGTATTGTCTAAAATATATGGAAAATACATGAAAATTTCACGAAATATGTGTTTAGTTCTTTGTTAATATATCACTTATATGCTAAGTATTAATAATACAAAGTTTTACACTTTATTGAAAAGAGAACTATACATATATAAATGATGCAATTGATGCTATAAATTTCTTCTATTAATGACAAAAACAAGCAACAAAATGAACATGGAGCACCAATGCAGAATGACTTAGAAAATATGGAAGACAAATTAAATCAATCTCCTTAAAACATCAAGGAGAGAAGAAACCTCAACAAAATAACATCCACATCAAACTTCAGCTACATTTAAACAATATTAACTTCACATCAAATGTTGGCAAGACAAAACTGATTTCTATTTATTCTGTTATTGAAAATCCTTAACTATAAATTCCACTGACAACAGAAGTGTTTTGATTTATGGCAAGATTCAAAATATCTGTGAATGTGGAATCTGTTAATAACATTAATTTGCCTGGCAATTTACAAGTGCTTAAGTAATAGACGGGTTCTGAGGAGTTTATTACAGATCTATACGTGGTTTAGACCTCCCGTGAAGGTTGTAAACTGTAGCTGGCAAGCTTCAAAACAACTGTTATATCACTCTGTCAAACAGAGCCAGCACCACTGCTTAAGAATGCACAAATATTATCTTTAAATGTATCTCTTAAAAAAATCTGCAAAATGGAAAAATTTTAATCTAATAATATTAAAAAGCAAGTGCAATAGTGTGCTTTTCATCAATCTGCTTACTTAAACATAGCTTTTTGAATATGCATGTACCAATAACTTTATCATAAATACTATTTGAACATGCATGTATTATTGCAATTCACCCATAAGAAAATTTCTCAACATGTTGCTTCAACTATCATAAACAATAATGGTTTTTATCTTATAAAAGACAGCTCTAACATTTTCCATAAGTCTTGACACAAGCAAGCAATTATGTGTTGTTCTGGTCCCTGTAGGGGTTTTACCCCAGGGCCGTTATCAAACCTCTTGCCTTACATTGCATGTCATTTCTTAATATTTCCAGTTCACCTAAGAATAGTTATTCTGACAGATTCAAATTAAAGATGAATATATACTTCTTATCATAAAAATTCCATTTCTCTTTTTTTTTCCTATTTTGGGTGACTTCTTGAAAATTCCTGTTTTTTATTTTTTTACGAATATGTACATTTTCAATTAACATTGTAAATATCAACATTTTGCATGATATATTCCAATCTTAAATACATAGTACCTGTATGATACATACACTTTATGTAAAACAAAAAGATAAAAACATAATAAAAAGGTACAATTAAGAATTACAATCAGATATAACAATTCTCATGCATCATACTTACACAGGCAAATGTGATCATCTGAAATTTCATATGAATATTTCAAATAAATATTCTCATACCAAATTCAAGTTCAAAAATATCACAAAAAATCTTTCACATACATTGCCTGTGAAAAAAAGGGAGCAAGTGTAATTTTTGTGAAAACTGTCACATGAAATTTTCACGTGAAATACACGAAAAATTTTTACAGGAGACTTTTTCAGATGAAATTCCTAAAAGTCACATTTGACTATGTAATACGTGTGTGTGTACTTAGGCTGTAATATATGGGATTACTATTCAGGAAATATATACTGATTATAACAGGGTGATATGTGAGGGATCGTAAACATACAATATATAATAAATGTGCATGTAACATTATTTCTTTTTGAATGCATAATACAGGCATAAATAATAGAACTTTCATTTTGATGCATAAAATATCAAAACTCGTACAAAAATATTTTTAAAAAATTTGCTTCTATTTGAGCCCTCTGACTTATTTACATCTATTTCTGTGTATCATGTTTATGTACAAAGTCAATATTTTTCTCTAAACCATTGAACAACATGAACATCTTTATATTATTATTGACTAGGCAATATCCTCCTCTGAGCAAAGATTTCTAGAGAGATCAGTAAACAGCCTTCTCATTTACAATTAAGCTGTTAAATAACATACCTGGTAACTAGAGTTCTTTTTGAAGTGACATATATTATAATCTGGATATGAATATACACAAAAATCATTATATGTTTGGTTGTTCCAAAAAAAAAAAAATTGGATTATAATATGAGTTCTTAGAGAAAGCAAACAACAATTCCTTTTAAAAAAAGAAAAATATAATGACAATGCTTGGTCATATTATTAGAATTTTTAACATGAAATGAAATTCATAATGCACATCTAAATGCCAAGAGATCATTTTCTCCTGATGCCACATCATAATTCTTCCAATTGACTAGAATAAACAGTTTAACATTTTCTCCATGATATTCTCTCATTCAACTCCAACTTTCCAATCCTCATGGCTAAATTTCATTCCAAAGAACAAACAGACAGAGGCTGCGTTAGCCCCCATCCCCAGTCCAATAAGACTGCTGGAACTCATGGGCTGTTCTACCTTCCAATCAAAGGTTACAGCTTTTCCCTCCACTTCAATACTGACCCTGACCTTGCCATTACCAAGGTCTTCAGTTTCTATGGTTGCAGATGACCCTCTTGTCAGCATGGGTAGCTTTGTTTTCATTTCCTGACCATCTACATAAACACTTCCTGCAAAGAATTCAAAAACATGTACAATTTTTTTCTCTTTCAAGTAAGATTCAGAATTTCAAATATTGGTTTTGGTTACTCAACCGAGTCACTGACAAGCCTGCTAATTCTTCTAATGCTGTAAATTCTAACCAATATCATTTGTAATGCAGTCAGTGTTCTTATCTAGATATTTACCTGATGTTGCCACAAATATAGAGCTGCTCCTCTGTAATGTTTCAGTGTCTGCATCATTTGCAGAGAGGCCAATTCCATCAAAGGGTGTCTTCTCTCCAGCATCCAGTACCCTGAATGTGATGGGGAAACCACAACGGTAGCTATTACTGCTGGAGTACAGGACTTCAGTGGGACCCTCTGATAATCTCGTTGCAGTCTTGTCTTCATTACTTGTACTGTACCCCTCCGTTGTGTTGTTCCATTCTGATCAAAAAATTATGTACAAATCTCACAGTATTTGTTAAAAATCTCATACATGTTAGCTTGGAACATTGGTGTGTCCATAAGAATTTTACTGTAGTTTTTAACTTTTGAGATTTATAGGAATATTTACGGTAGTGTATAATGGTTATAGGAATATTTACGGTAGTGTGGAATGGTTATAGGAATATTTACGGTAGTGTGGAATGGTTGTGACAGCTGTCCGGGGAACACTCCAGATGCTCCACTTTTCCTCACCCTCGGGGCGAGATCTGACCCTGAAGGAGTATGGTGTACTGGTCCTCAGATGTCGTACCTTACAAGAAGTGTTGGGACCAGTGTAGGCCGTGTGGAATGTGACATTTTTGTCTTCGTTAGACTGGACTCTGCCGTAGCAGTATTGTAAACAAAATTCTCCAGCTTCAACCTCCTCATCCACCTGATAGTAAATGTAGCTATGAAAAACTGACCAAGTCTCGTCTACTTAGTACTCACTATAAAGTAATGAGCACTAAATACAATCTAATTCTTATGGTTCTTATTTAATCCATAGGGAGCTGGATCTATATATCATTAGACTGTGTCAATTTTATATCCACATCTTAATTTTATAATTTGTTCATCTGAACATTTCTCAACTCCCTAGCAATTCAAATAAAAAGTAAATACATGTACTCTGTGTAAATATATAATTTACTGGGTTAGTATTCACTGTCTCCATGACAACTTTACCTCTGTCCAAGTAATCAACAGACTTCCTGGTCGCTCTTCTATTTCTGAGATCTGAGCTGGTGCCCTCTCTAGTACCCGGCCCTCATTTTCAAACAGCTGATGAAGTTTGTTCTCCAGGTCAGGGTGGAAGCTGTCAACAGACAGGTAAGACACGTCTGCCAGGGAGGGGATTTCTGGAACACTGACAAAAAGGAGAGGTGTCAAATTACATTCAGTCATAATAAACAATATTACTATACCCGAGAATTACAGAAAAGAATACATCAACCTTGTACACTACTGAAGTACTGAAAAAAATAAGAACCTATGCAACTGCTTTGTGTCTGGGTTGTCTTTAAACTTCACCAAGTCCTCAATGTGGTCATTTGGATTATTACTTAAGATCTTCTTTCCTGGTAATTTAAACAGATTTTCTAATGCATGTACATAATATGCTAGCAAGAGTTTTCTCCCCTAATTCAGATAAGTAAAAGTATTTCTTCTAACATCTGATATTTCTGAGACATAAAAAATTACTATTTATCTTAAATATTTAGTGAATATCACTCACAAGAGAAAAAAAAAGCTACATCCTATAATATCCTACATATTTCTGCTTTTCTAGAAAAATTGGTCAGTTAGGCTACCTTAAATGTTTGCTTGCCCCCTCCCTGCTCAGAATAAAAAATTAGGTAGGTAGGTAGGAGAATTTATTTTTTGATATGGGCCTGTACAGATTAGCATTATAATGATCAACTAATTGTGAATATAAAATAAATTGTTGTTGATGAGATGAGAAAATTACGAATTATCAAAAAAAAATAATTGTTTCCTGGAGGTTAAAAAAAAGTTTTTAGGCAGTCCATTGGGATAGGGAAAACACAGTTTTTGTAAAGATGGCCTTACAAAGTTTTCATAAAAGAATGATGCATAAACATACTGTAGATGATAATTTAACAAAATTTACAAATCTTACAGGTATCCTATTGTTTTTCATGTCAAGCATTGTTGCAGGTAATGTATAATTTTTAATTTTTTTTAAAAAAACAAGGTGTGTTTGTAAACCACTGATGACCAAGGTTAAATTTTTTCAAAAGTAGGTCCAAAAATATTGGTACCCAAAGAAAGGTTTTGTCACATGGAAGATGCATGTGAAAAATGAAAGCCCTATCACTAACCATTCAAAAGTTATTGCCAAGGTTAAGTCTTCCAAAAGTAGATCAAACTACAAGGTCAAGAGGTGAGAAATATTGGTACTCAAAGAAAGGTCTCATCACAAAGAATACACATGTAAAATATATTAAAGCCCTAGCACTATTAAACATTAAAAAGTTATGGGAAAGGTAAGTTTTTGTGGACAAACAGACTAACAGACAGATCAAAAACTATATGCCCCCAAATCTTCAATTATGGGGGGGCCCAAAAAAAAATTACCATCCTCCATAACTCTGGCAGCTGCTGAAATGCCTGCATTTAGCATTGCTTCACAGTCTGTAAGGGGAGATAATGCCTCCTCAGAAAGCCTGTCAACCTCTGAGAGTAGTTCATTGAGTCTGCGGGTCAAATTTTCTATAGCTTTTTCTTCTAACCACTTAAAGTGCTCCTTAAGACATTTCTTTGACTGCTCTGCACTGAATTTAACCTTTTAAAAACAGATGAGGTACAGTAAATTTCAAATAAACTTGATAATTCAAAGCATGACCATTAAAATCAATTTTTAATTCATAATAAAACATTTTATTTGCTCTGATCAATTCTGGATCACTTTGACCACCATGCAATCTCATGCATGACACCATTTACTTACTGATATAGTTTTACTTCTTACTTCATCTTACAGTTCACAAACCCTATGTTTACTCATATAAAATGTTGCTTTAATGCTTATAATTTTTCAAAAGAAATGTTTTTTATACTTTGAATGCAAACAATTTTAGCAAAGCTTAGGAGGCAAAGGAGATGGGTGAACACGACGAGCGATAAGCCTATAGTGTGACAAACATGAAGATGAAAAATCAAATTTCAATTATATCAAAATTTTCCTTGATATTTCGTCTAACATAAAAATATACTTTATGTAAAAAAATATACTTTTATGACATAACATTCGCAGCTTTTCGAGAAATACTTGAAGTCCATTAAGTCAAGGGTCATATCACAAACATGATTTAAATGCCACACTTCATCAGGACTTCTGTAGTCTAGTGGTTAGCATGCTAGTCTCAAAAGAAAATGATACTCAGGATTTTTATTGCTAGGGTTCGAACCACACGAATACCACATTAATTTTTTTAATAAAAGAATAAATTTTGCCGAGAAAATTTTCCTCAGAAAAATTTCGTTTATCATAATTTCATAAATTTCAATAATGAGAACTTTACTCTAAATACTAAATTCACAAACTGAACATGATTTTTATATATCTGAAGCTATAGGCTTTCTGCAAGCTATGTTCACCCATCTCCTTTGTTAGAAATTACATTTCAACTTGACAAATTTATAATAGACATTTACCCAGAAAGAGTTATCTCTCTTATCAGAGGGTCAATGAACCTTAAATGAAATTTATCTTTCATTTATTTCTGAACTGTGCTAAATAATGAATATAATAATTAATCTGTATCACATAAAAAAAAGGCCATTTACATTTCTATAATTGCAACTGTGTATAAACATGTTATCAAAATCAAAAGGAAAATTAAAATCAAATGAAAAAAATTAAATGAACATACATGTACAATGTACCTGTAGAATTGCTAATAATTATACCATGTATTTCACACAAAATTCCATGCTGATATGTCTTTACAGGGAATGTTTTAATCCTTAAAATGCAATAGTTCTACAGATAATGTTTAATGAATCAAAAGTTTTTTTTAATATTAATCCAACACCTATTACCAATACAAATCCCGAATCATTTCAGAGCATGCTCTATCTGTTTTTCCTACATGGTAGATATGACATCTTTGTGATTGGGTGTCTTAAAACTGATTGTCAGTATTCTTATACACCTTTCTACAATATATCATCCACCTTCAAATACCAATTTTTTCACCTGTTGTTTGGCCTCTGACAGTGACTTCATGGATTCTGTCAGCTGTTGTTGTTGGGAATGGGCATTATCCATAATATCAACAACATTCTGAACTAACTGCTGGGCCATCTCCAATTGGCAATCTTGTGTACTCCACTACAAAATTCTAAAATAAAGCAAAGAAATAGTATGTACTGTTTAGTAAAATAACGTTTTAAATCATTTGACACCAAGGTATACTGTGTGCACAAGCTTTAGGTTTGGGGTATCCCATCGCCAAGATACAATCACAGCAAACGCTGAATATTCTGAACAAATGGCAATGCATATTCAGACTTTTGATTAAAAGAAATTGTAGGTACTGGTCTTTCGTTCTCTTACTTCAATATGACCCTCTTCCAAATAGATCAATATGGACCTATGTTAATGCAAAGCAATAAAATATTTTGGAGTTCAGAACTAACAAAACTATCATATCACGCTAATACACCGAGGTAGTTAAATCTCATATAGTCTGAATCTGAAAGTAGACGTGGTTGCGGTGATAGGTAGATATCTTGAATTTACTTTCATTATTGAATACGTTAAAGCTTCATCAGAATACATCTTGAGGCAGATTTGTTATGCAATAGATCAGAAAAGAAAAATAAGCCGATCATTGTCAGCTTACAATGTGTATTCCGGTTCGCCTACCTCTTCCTCCAACTACGATGGAGGCGGCCATTAATCTCGTGTAACGCGAGACCTTTAAACGTGATTTCACTTCCTTCTAGAGGCCTTTGATTGCACTGTCAACAAAGAAAAGGTACATGTAAGTAGCGTTGTAAACATCCAATTTAATGGCAAACTTGTAACTTAAGAAACAGAATTAAACTTTGGAAATGGCTCACGACAATATTTATTTCATAATTTATTTGCGGTCTGCTTATTTTTTGTTTGCATGATTGTGGTTGTTTGTGATATATTCCTTTGTCAGTTTGCAGTTAGTTTGCACAAAAGAAATGTGTCAAAATATGAATTTGCATGCACTTACAGCTTGTGTACATAGAAAGGAAACCTGGAGTCAAACGCAATTTGGTTCATGTCTAGTTGGGAAAAATCCCATAGAAGAACTCTACAACAGTGTACAAAGCACTGAAGCAAGTTTACATTATTTTATGTCTGTATGATCCAGAGTATATAGGCACCAGAATGGGATATAAAATTGATGCCTTAAGTATTTTTTACCATGGATAAGTTGTTCATCCGATCATGAGTTTTTAAGCGTACAAAGAATGTTCTACAATCAGATTGTCAAAGAGAAAGTTAAGATGTTGCATACTAAATCAGCAGGTCTTTCAAAATCTGCCGGTACCCGGTACTTTCACCCAACTGAATTCATGATTGTTCTGACCAGAATGGTTGTTGGAGAAAAATTTGATAACATATTTATTTTTTTAATTAAAATCGTTCCACAAGATACCTCCTGTTTTTGTAAAAGAACAACCTGTTTCTAATCTTTTTGAAAGCCCTGAATCAGAAACATAAATAATAAAACACCATGTTTTATTTATGTCTCTGATCAAATGATTAAGTTATATGTATGCCTAATTGTGTTCAATGTTTATTGATAGATAATTATCAGCTATAGTTAATTGAATTTGTTATCTACTTGTATTGTTTAAATGCCATTGTATTTACAACTGACACAATGACATTTTATCTATAATAAGATTGATGATAATGTATTTATAGTATTTTTATAATTTTAATTGCTAGCTGTGACATACTTTCTGTATTTTTTTTTTCTCGTTGTAAAAAAAAAAATACATATATAACTAAAATTTGTCAGTGTTGCACAGATAATTGTATACAGTAACATATTTACGATTTATTGAAGATCTAAATATTCTTATTACTGACAATAAATTAGAATGCTTAGAGTACAAAGTTCTCAATATTTTAATCCTGTGTTAATCTTATGTTCAGTTTTTCAATGAATTGAAGGCTTACATAAAAACAGTATATTATTGAAATGATCTGTTTAGAACTTCTGGCTTCAATACTGTCAAAATTATATTTTAAAATAAAAAAAAAAGATTCTATCTCAAGCTGAAAAGTTGAGAGAAACCTTTGCCTGAAGATATAGCATGTAATTTATTAAAACAATTAGTTTAGGTTTAAGACTTGATATAAAGACCCCAAAGTATGTTGTTTTTGTAATGTTAAAACTCAATAAATGGAAGGGGAGATCAGCTTATAATTATAGATGCCAGCCAGTTGTAAAATTCAGCTAAAGATTACTCAACTTTTTGTTAAAAAATTCTCTTTGATCTAATTTGAAAGGCTATATAATGTGCAATTGAACAGATATTGATTTTAGACATGCTTTGCATGCTTCAGTAAGCTTTAATTTTACAAGGAATAAAACTGCCTTGCATTAAAGCTGTTTTATTAAAGACAGTCTATTGAATCTATAACAAATAAGCTAAATAGTATGAGACTCAGAGAGAAAACGCTAGCAAATGAAATTTCAGACATGGGGAATATTAGATATTTCACTTCTCTATCTTTCTCTTTCTCTCTCTCTTATTTCATTCCAATATTAATATATGTTCCCTGTGATGGATGGGTCAAGCAGTTCCCTCAATTCTGGTTTACTGTATTTTTGAACTTTTATATTCAGGGGCATTTGACAAATTGGTGAATTTAGAACATTTATTTGCAGAGGACACCAAATGTTTCAGCAACTGAACTTGATTGATATACTCATAATTTTATTATGGTCTCTTATTGTTAAATATGATCATTGATTTCACTATTTCACTACTTATTGATTAAGACTGTTTATTACAAAATGATAAGTCATATTTCTCTGTAAGTCATTAGTATATGTCTTCCATAACCTTGGTACATTAGCATACATTGTAAAGGTTTTGTTTTTAAAAAAATGTGTCAATTTATTAAGATATGACTGGAAATTATGATAATGAATCGATTGTCAAATAACTGACACTTGCTATTAAGCTTTTGATATTTATTTTATATATTGGTAACTAAATACACCTACAACATACATATAATTTATGGATGGATACTGTGTGTAAACATATAAAAACTGTACATAAATGTCTCTGTGGTCAGGTGAACAGGTAAAAAAAATATATAGTGTCTGTGGCTATTTCCTGCTCAGATACAATTGTTGACCTAAAACAAAGTAAAAAGACACACTTGAGTGGTTTGAACAGCTGATGGGGGTCAACAGATACCTGGGGAATGCTAAGACTCTTTTATCAACTACATACCTTTTTTTATGTTTGTTTGTTTGCTAAGCTTGCTTACCATGTAAATGACACATTTGATTAAATCAGCACTATTGAACAAAGAAGGTGATCCATTTAGTGATGTCAGCTGAATGTTTTTATTTACAGAGAGACTGGAATTGTTAGTCCGTGAAGTGGATTACAGAGGGCTCGGAAGTCACACGAGGTCCTTCCACCAGCTGTGTCCTTAATCCAAAACAAAATGTAAAGACCATTAGGCAGTACCCAAATAAAGGTCTTTGTGTAGTGGCAGACAGGCCAAAATAATCTTTGGAAATCAAAACTCCTGGTTTTTAAATGTCTACAGAAGAATAAATGTGTCTAAGGATATCTTTACTTGTGTCAAATTCACATCTATTGATGGACTATTCCAAGCAAGGAACATTCACATTGCCGGGACAGACCAAGAGCAGCCCACTCATGGAAAAAGGGGAAAGCTCAAATCACTGTAGAGAAGATTATCAAGAGAGAGATTCACTTTTATGTTGAAGATAATAAAAGCAAAATTAAATCCTGAAACATTTGAAGGAGGGATTTAGTGTTCTTATCAGGGATAGGGTATTAAAAAATGTGTTAGTTATATTGAAAATCGTTTTCCTTGGCTTTGCTACTAATATCTTTGTTTATGGGGTATGGCTAGCAGTGGCAATGAGGTAAACAGAAGCATAGCGTGGAACCCTGACAAACGGACTGCCCCACAACCTCCACGGAGTAATTCAGGCATTGCCTCAGTGAGTGGTGCTTACAGTGGGGCCTCTTCAATAGGTGGTGCCTCCTTTCAGGAGACAAATAGTTCAAGAGCGGAAACATTACCGGAGAGTGCTGAAGGAAACCACACGCACTACAGGTCAAATTTTGTTGACAACCGCAATTGGGTGCATAGCAGTCGTAATTTGCATAATTGTATAAACATGGATCAAAACAATGAAGAAAATGACAGTCGTTCGCCAGCCAGAGGCAATTATAATTCTAATTTACATGAATCAGTAGGACAAACTAGTGGTATTCCTAGCCAATCAAACTACACTGTGAACAGGAGGACTTCTTCAGCAGAGAGACGTGAAGTCGTAGCAGAGGTGAATGAAACTGACCCCACAGTACGCACAGATACATCACAGCAGTCAACCAACAATGAAAACATGGCCCCAGGACATTCTATACAAACCCAGGACATAGATGTAGGAGTCATTGCAGCACAACAAGAGATGCGTCACGAGCCATTACCCGATCTTCTACACTCTCATGTTATTCCCTCCCACAATTCTTCCTCTCCCAGGCAGGGAGGGCAGTCCCACCCTGGGGTTCATGACCCGCGGGGATACAGTCACTACCCCCAACACCGCCATCACTCACGGCACCACCACAGGTCGGGGCATCGCTCACATCACGGTAGACGGAGGCACAGGTCTCGTAGTTCCTCCTCTGTGGAACCTGAGCCCTGTAAGGAAGGATGCCTCTCGTGTTTGGCTGCCACCACTTCATTCCGATGGATTCTCGTCATTTTGTCATTGTTAGGTGTTTGTTGTGTTGTGACTGGAATTGTACTCGCAGCACTCCATGCCACTGGGAATAGCTTTCTCTTCCTCGCAATAATGTTTATAGGTAAGAATTATGTATAATTTTCATACTAAATTTCAACTAAGCAATTTAAATCGGTAAGAAACAGGCTATTCAACATGTTCAAAAGAAATTTCATAATTTAAGTTCAATACTGGAGAAATGCGATGGAATGTTACCATGTACATGTAGTTCTGTGAAAGCAATGACAATAGGTACATACGGTTTGTTCATATGGCAAAATATACAAAACAACATGGCAGAATATTAACTTAAACATTTACTACAGGGGGTAATTACATTACACATTTATCTCTCATCTTAAATGTTATTCACAACCTGGGGGCCCCTTTTAATAAAGAGTTGTAGAAAGTCTGTGTGTAGAATTGTCCATTTCCTGGGCGCAGATCGACAGTGTCTTTAATTGTGACAGCGTTATAAAAAACCACCACCACATTCATTCGCTTACGTCAATATTTGTTCATGCATTATTAAATAAATCCAGGAGCAAGTTCAATACAATTTATACATTGAGGTTGTTGAGTAAATTGGGCTGAGTTCTGATACATGAAGTTGTCCTGATGTTTATGTACAGGTACTATTTACCTGTGTATTTGATTTTTTCAGTTTTAGCAGAGACACACATATTTATTTATAGTGCTTATTTCAATAGTTGTCTCTTAGGAAGATAAATTTATTGTTACTCTGTAGTTCCTACCATTACGTGACAAGGCTCATTTTAAGTCATTTATCACCTGAATCTGTCAACAAACTTCTACTTCCTTAAAATCCAAGTTCTCTCTGTTTGACAAGCATATTCCTTACACATTTTGGGGAAACAGTAGCTTTGTCTATTGTGCTAAGAGTAATTAGGAT